AATCTGTTCAAACTGACTAAAATCAGCCACATACTTTCCATTTTTGGAGAGAGAAACCACGGGCACAAACTCAAAACCCCAATAGATTTCCTCTGGGATATAAGATGTTCGGCTCTGGCAGACAGCACTGGTGGATTCCACAGTGGCGTTAAGGAGAACCACAAGTTCAAAGTCCTTCTCCTTCAGATTTTGGGGTGTGAGGTCACGCAGGGGGCTCGTCTCATCTAGTACATGGTAGAAGGTCATGGGCAAAATGAGAAAGGGGCTCTCAGAAGAGGAGTCAACGTGGAATTTGACAGTGGCCTGGTTGAGGAGGATGCGCTCCCCCTCCTTGGTGACGTGGGTCTGGAGGAGCTTCCCTGAGAGTTGGCACTGGATCAGGAGACTCTTCCTCATGTTGGCCACCTGGATCACCAAGCACAGCTTCCCATTCTGCTTGGTGATGACTGCACAGTGGCTGAACTTGATGGTCTCAGCACGCTTTTTAGGTCTTGCAATTTTGGCCAGAAAGGTGCCCGTGATGAAGATTTCGATCAAGGTTGTAATGACCAGCTGAGCTACCAACAGGAAAATGGCATGAGGACATTCCTCTGTGATGGAGCGGACCCCATAGCCAATCGTTGTCTGCGATTCCAGAGAGAAAAGAAAGGCTCCCGTGAGAGAGTCCACTTTCATGATGCAGGGAGTGTGATTGGAAATAACCTCACTTGGTTCCAAGTCTCCATGAATAAATGCAATGGCATAGTATATCACCCCAAAAAGGAACCAGGTCATCACAAATGTGGCAGCAAACAAGGTGAGTTTGTATCTCCATTTCATGTCGATGACTGTGGTCCATAAGTCTTGGAGGTAGAGTAAATATATGCCATCCACCTTATCGATTCTCACATTGCTGTGTCCACTCTTGGACATGACCCGGGGTCTGTTGGCTTTGAGTCCAGCCCCAGCTGTATGCTTCACCAGCGAGGCACTGGACATACCCATGTGAATGGCATCCATTGTCAGCTCTAGGGACCACCTAAAGATATGAAAAAGAGGTTTTATTACTGTCATATGTGGTGAAATGTACAGAAAACAAACAGAATAACTACATGAACTAAGTAGGAATGGATAGGGACTGGTGCACCAAAGGAGCATTCTGAAGGTAAGATGAACTGATTTTTTGTCTGGGTAGTGCGTAGGGTAGACTAAGGAGCATAGGCTTTGAAAAGCAAGCCTGGGTTAATGTTGAGAGGCTTAACCTGAATCTCTGAACCTCAGCTCTCTAACCTTTAACATGGGGATAAAGCCTATTTCTCAGTGTTTTTAGTGATTTTAAATGAGATAAAGAGGAAAAATAAAGTCTCATGTTCAAAAACCGGTGTTATGCTCCTCTTTATGATAACATACTCATGAACCTATTCCATAGAGTGTTACGGATATTTACTATATTCAACCATTATGTACTGCCTATTATAAAAAATAAGATATTATTTGACTAGCATAGGTGCAATACTGATGTAACTAAAGTCTACCATTCGGATAGTTCTTGATATAGCAAAAGAGAATATTAACACGCATTTAAAAAATTTATATAGCATAAACTTTAAAAAAAAAAAGTTTGCTGTAGGGCACATGCACTCACTGGAGACAAAGAGAAAAATAGGGAAGGAGAAGGAAAACGGGAAAGCACCTCCCAGGAATGCAGAAGGCCACGCTGCAATCCCTTCTACTTCATTCCCCTCTAGGGTTTTTGGGCATGCATGCACATATACCCCATGTGTTTTTCAAGCTGCAGAGTGCAGGACTTGAACTGCGCAGTTAGCCATGTGAGATCCAGCTGCCTTAACCACCACACCACCACAGGTCCCTGAGTAAAATTTTTTCTCTTCCTTTTGCAGGAAATTCTTTGTAATTAAAATTCATTTTCTCCCTAATTCAAGGAATAATTTAGAATCTATGACTTGCCCTAGTTCTCAATGACATTAAAAAAATACATTTATCAAAAATATACATACAGTAAATAATTAAGCTTTATTATGCCAGCTATTCTTACAAAAATGCCACCAATATTATTTTAGGTATGGTAAATATGCCCAGAAGTTCTAGGGCTGGCTCAGTGATTTAGGTCCACCAAGCTCTGGTGGAAGGTACTACTGATGTCATTAGCTCCCACATCAGACAGATATGGCTGCCGCAGAAGCACTCCCATCAGAGAGGGGAGAAAGATCCAGTTCACCCCAGCCTGGCCCACTGCTCCTTTGAAAAAGAGATTAAGACAGAAGCTTCATGGGACTGCCACAGAAACAAGGCTGAATTTTCCAGAATCTGGCAGAGGGCCAGATTTTGCCTTATTCTTTAAAACTAAGTAAAACCACCGGGAAGAATCTATTTTAAAGAGCAAATGAAAAAGTAAACAAGTACAGGTATCTAATATTGTAGCAGAAAAACCTACCTAGAAGAAGTACCGGCTCCAAAACTCAGCCCCAGGGAGCACGCTATCCTGTGTTAACAAACAGGAACAAGCTGTCTGGGAGGCCACACAGGATTTTATAGTACCTGTTTGGTGACTAAAGTAAATTACCCCTGGATTCCTCGAAAAAGATAATGTGAGTGATTACAGGGTAACTTTACCTGGTTGGCATTTTTTTTTTTCACCTCGTAGGTATTTTAAACACAAAAAAAGAATTCTCCCCTTGAAAAGGAACTGATGTATACTGATTTATGATCATGCAATAAGCTTTTCTGTTAGAATAGCATTATCTCAAGAGAGGTTTTGAAAGTGATCCTTTGGGCAAATCCCTTCAGGAAATGGAAACTGTATCCATTGGAAGTGAACCTGGTCGGGATGCTGTGGATCTGCTGGGCATTTTAATTTTCCTGTTACATTATTAAGAGTGGGTCACTTACTAAATGCCCCCCGTGACATAATTTTTTTTCTTCTAAGGAAGTCTGTTTTTCATTTTTGTTGCAAAGAAAGGTCATACATTATTCAGATTTTACTGGTTGAAGTCTGTACCATTTTCTCAGGGGTTAATTTAGAAGAAAAGTATAAGATATAATTCTTGGACATGGGCCTTATCATACCCTCAGCAACACTTCTCAGTATAACAAGGAGGAACGCAACCACACTGAAAGTTTGGAAACAAGCACCATATGGGCATGCCCCAATGCACAGCCGAGCTTGTAACATGAGCCCTGCCAGAGACAAATGCAGCATATAGACAAGTGGCTGCATGCCTTTCTTTTCTTTCTCTCTCTCTCTTTCTTTCTTTCTTTCTTTCTTTCTTTCTTTCTTTCTTTTCTTTCTTTTTCTCTCTTTCTTTTTCTTTATTTTATAAAGAGAAACTGTTGGCCAAAGTGCACACCATTCAACCTACTGAAACAGAAACAGAAGCTTCAGTTATGAACTTGAGTGATTCACAAGCATCCTGCATAAGCGAGGCTCTAAATTCAGCCCTCTGACAGATTCTGCCAGAAAATTCAGCCTTGTTTCTGTGGCAGTCCCATGAAATTTCTATCTTAATCTCTCTTTCAAAGGGGCATTGGGTCAGACTTGGTGTGAACTGGATCTTTCTCCTTTATCTGATGGGAGTGCTTCTGAGGCAGCCATACCTGTCTTATGTGGGAGCTAATGACATCAGTAGTACCTCCCACCAAAGCTTGGTGAATCTAAATCACTAACCGGGTCCTAGAGCTTCTAGGTGTGTTTGGTTCAGCATCTCAATGGAAAAGAGCAGTTGGTTGGCTGTAGTTAAAGGGCACCATTGCCTGCTCTCTCCCCATACTTCCCTCTAGTGCCTTGCACCCCTGGAATCGGTTACTACCTGGTCACTCACTCGGCAGGTCAGAAGGTGTCTTCTTCCAGGCAGGTAGAATGTCTTTGCTCCCCTTCTCCCACCTGGCTATCATAGGATTCTGCTACTGCCTGAAAGAAAGAGGGACACGTGATGTTCACAAGTAGTTACTAAGAGCATCCCGGTAAAACGGGCCCCTAACCACCCCCTAAGGGGTATGGCTGTGGCATTTACCTTCCAATTCCTGGTCATCTGGCACAGTGCATAGAATAGGGTAAAGACTCAAGGAATATTTTAAGAATTATATTGAACTCTTTATCATAACCTTCACTACAAAATTCTCAGCCCCGAAGGGAGTTCAGAAGCATAACACCCTGGAAAGAGAGGGTTAACCCACCCCCATTGAGGCTTGCTATGAACTGACCAGCAAACAGGGAGGCAGGAAGGGGAAGTACAGAGGAAGTAAACAGTGAGCATTGGAAGGGAAGAGTCTAGAATATTTTTACCGTCTGTGGAAATGCATTACTATTGTTGAGTCACTGAACATTAGAGTGGAAACGACTGTCAAAACCATCCCATTTGACATTGAGACCAAGGAGTGAGGAGTGACTTTTTTTGGTCACATAGCTGGGTCCTAGCAGAAAAAAAAAGGGCCAAAGTCTTCGGAAGCTAGGCCAGTATTCTTGTCAGCACATCACAAAGTCCCCCTTCAGCCTCCACAGTTTCATGTCATCTTAAAAAATTCAGAAGGTTCTTTTCCATCCTACTTTTCTGAAATGCTTCTTTCTTATGCTGTCTGTCTGTCTATTTATCAATATATCCCCTGTATCATCTATCTATCACCTGTATTATCTAGCTATTTATCACCTGTAGTAACTATCAATTGTCTATGTAATCTATCATCTACATTATCTGCTATCTAATATTACCCATCTACAAATCAATAATCTGTATTATCTATAAATCATCTATCCATAGTACCTATCTATTAATTTACCATCTATGTTATCTACCTATTTATTACCTAAATTATCCATCAATTTAAGATAAAAATCAATCCTCTATTTTATCAATTGCTTATCCATATTATATTTTATCATTTATATTATCTGTCTCTTCCCCATCTGTGTCTATTTCTCTATCATCTATCTACACCTACACATTTTTATGTATCTCACACCCACACCAGCATGCATATACTTCACACGTTTTTTGGACCTACCATGTATTTACTGTAATCACTCTTTCATAGTTAAAAAATTTCAATTTAACCAGTTATGCAGCCAGATTCTGCCACTGTGGCTATAGTATGTGTGGCCAATAACTGGTTATTTGTTGATCTATTAGACCCAGTACCTTAAATATAATACACCACATTAACAGAAAAAAAGATAAAAACCATATGATCTTTTTGATCAATGCAGAGAAAGCATTTGATAAAATACAACATCCCTTCATGATTAAGTCTCTCAGCAAGACTGGTATAGAAGGATCATTTCTCAATATAATAAAAGCCATATTTGAAAAACCTATAGCTAACATCATACTGAATGGGGAAAAGATAAAAGCTTTTCCATTAAAAACTGGCACTAGACAAGTCTGTCCACTTTCTCCACTGCTTGTTAATATAGTGCTAGAAGTCTTAGCCAATGCAATCAGAAAACAGAATAGTATGAAAGACATTCAAATAGGCAAAGAAGAGTTTAAAATATCTTTATTTGCAGATGACATGATGGCATACTTAGAAGGCCCAAAGGTTTCATGAGAAAACTTCTCGAAGTAATAAATGCATGCAGTAAAGTGTCAGGATACAAAATCAGCATCCAAAAATGTACAACAATTTTATATATGAACAACAAGTTGAATGAAGGAGCACTGAAGAAAGGAATCTCTTTTACCCTAGCCACAAAATATATAAGATACACAGGGATAAACCTAACTAAAAAAAAGTCAAAGACCTTTACAAAGAAAACTATACAAATCTTTCAAAAAGATACTGAAAATGACATAAAAAAGTGAAAGGACATCCCATGTTCCTGGATTGGAAGAATTAATATAATAAAGAAGGCAATTCTACCCAAATTAATCTACATATTTAATGCAATTCTAATCAAAATACCAGCGACATTCTTCACAGATCAAGAAAAGACAATCATAGAATTTGTTTGGAATCATAAAAGACCTCATATTGCCAAAGTAATCCTGTGCAAGAAGAGTGAAGTAGGTGGCATATCACTCCTTGTCCCCAAGATATACTATAAAGCTGTGATAATTAAAGCAGCATGGTATTGGCACAAAAACAGACATGTGGACCAACGGGATGGAATAGAAACCATAAACCCCAAAACTTACAGACAACTGATTTTTTTCTTTCTCTTTTTTGACTTATGATTTTATTATAGTAACAAACATTTGTTACAGTGCAATCTATGAACATATATAGAATTATGCTTAAATTCATATAGAACAATACTTACATTTTTTTTAGAGGTTTTTGCCATAGGGCGCGTGCGCTCGCCAGAAAGACAGAGAGAGACAGAGAGACAGAAAGCAAGAAATCACCCCCCAGGGGGAATGGTCATGCCGCAATCCCTTCTCCTCCATTCTCCTCTTGGGATCTTAGACATGCACGCACATGTGCCCAGCGTGAGTTTTAAGCCACTGGGTCTGGAACTTGAACCGCAGTCGACTACATGGGAGTCCAGTGACATAGCCATTACGCTAACTGCTGGTCCCCAATATTTACATTTTTATGTTAGACTTTTGACAATGAGGATGACCTACAGCTTAAGTTTCACAACAAAGAAAAGAAAAATATACACGACAGAAATGAAGTTAACAGTAAAAGTACAACTCTCTGTTCCTGATACAACATGTGGAAACTTCTTATCAGAAAGCTACATCTTCTTAATCTGGCTGTCCAAATCATTAAACAGACCTTCCTTTCATAATACATTTTGTTGTATATTATGTAATATTATATTAGACTACACATTTTTCTCTAAACATACCACTTAGTAGCAATATAAAAGACTTTTATTACCCAAGTTTTTCTAATAAAAAATATTTAGACAAAAAGTTCATATTTAGGACTTACAATAGTTGGAAATGAAACTAGAAAAAAAGTAACTTCTTGAAGTATCACAAATGGGTATATATTTTCTAGCTAAGATGTAATATTTATAAAGACCATTAAATACAAATCATTTATTTTAAATATTAATATATTGATAAAATAACATATTGAAAACAGTTTCAAGTTAAAGTAAAAGATCAGCCTTTCAAATATGTATATTTTTTCTATCTGATGAGCAAAACCCCAAACATTCTGAGAAAGAAAGAAAACTTCAATATTTCTCGGTTTCAGCCAATCCACTATTTCTTCTTTTTTTATTTTTATTTTTTGAGAGGTTTTTGCTATAGGGTGCATGTGCTCTCCAGAAAGACAGAGAGAGACAGAGAGACAGAAAGTGAGAAAGTGAGAAAGTGAGAAAGTGGCCATGCCATAATCCCTTCTCCTCCATTCTCCTCTCGGGATCTTGGGCATGCACGCACACACGCCCAGTGTGAGTTGATTTTTGATAAAGGTTACCAGTCAATCCACTGGGAAAAAGAAAACCTCTTCAGAAAATGGTGCTGGAAAAACTGGGTATCCACCTGCAGAAAGATGAAACTGATTCTTCACCATTAACAAAAATCAACCGAAAATAAATGAAACCCGAACCTAAGATCTCAGTCTACAAAACTACTAGTGGGAAACTCTGGGTAGGCAAAGACTTCTCAAGTAAGACTCCCAAATGATGAGCAATAATCCCTAAAATAGACAAGTGGGACTATATCAGAATAAAAAGTTTCTGCACAGCAAAGGACACAGTAATTAGTGCAAATCGATAATCCTCAGAATGGGAGAATGTTTTTGTAAACTATGCCTCAGAAAAGGGACTGATAACCAGAATACACAGGGAGCTCAAACGACTTACCTAGAAAAAAAAAAAGATCAAACTAATTAAAAGATGGGAAAATGAGCCGAACAAGAAAAAAATCTAAGGAAGACATATGAACAGCCAAAAAGCATATGAGGAAATGTTGAGCATCCCTCATCATAAGAGAGTTGTAGATTAAAACCAGTATGATATACCACCTAACCCCTGTGAGAATGGCAAAGATTAAAAACACAAAAAGTGTTAAGTGCTGGCAGGGTTGTGTTGAAAGGGGCACTCTCCTACACTGTTGGTGCGAATGTAAATTGGTCCAGGCACTATGGAAAACAATATGGAGTTTTCTCAAAGAGCATCCCTCATCATAAGAGAGTTGTAGATTAAAACCAGTATGATATACCACCTAACCCCTGTGAGAATGGCAAAGATTAAAAACACAAAAAGTGTTAAGTGCTGGCAGGGTTGTGTTGAAAGGGGCACTCTCCTACACTGTTGGTGCGAATGTAAATTGGTCCAGGCACTATGGAAAACAATATGGAGTTTTCTCAAAGATCTAGAAATGGCACTACCATTTTATCCAACAAGTCCACTCCTGGGTATCTACTCAAAGGACAGGAGAATGCTCAGTTGGAAAAGTACTTGCACATCAATGCTTATTGCACCATTATTCATGATTGCTAAGACATGGAACCAACCCAAATGTCCACAAACAGATGAATGTATTGAAAAAGTGTGGCACATATATTCCATGGA